GGAGCCTACCCAGGGGGGTGACTGCTATTTGATGGGTGGGAAGCCCAGTCTCGGCACCCACAGCCAGGGATGAGGGAATCGGGGTCCAGACCAATGCGTAGGGTCATGGTGAGTGTGCGGGCAGCCACCCACCGTCTCCTTGAAGCTGTCTGACAGCCAGCGGTTCCTGAGCACGGCAAGCACCGAGGACGGGGGGCTCTCCAGGTCCTCGAAGGCGTCCATGAGGATAAAGTCCAGCACGATGTCATAGAAGCTCATGCACACCACCTGCGAGAGGCAGGCTGCCCTGAAGCCAGGCCCAAGCTGCAGGACCACTGTCCAAGTAGGAAGACTGAGGTCGGAGGGAGCCACATGGGTGAGCAGACACATCCCTGCTCTGCGACGGTGCAGCTGGGGCCATCCCTCTACCAGCCTGGACCTGGGCAGAAACTGGGGGCTCGCAGCAGCCCCCCCGAATCAAGGCAGAGTTGGCACAGGCACCACTCCCTGCTCAGAGTCTCAAGTGCTTAGCACAAACCAACTTACCCCTCGGCCCTCCAGCTCCAGCCGTGTGGTAGCCCAGGTCTCTGGCCTCAGAGCATAGCTCAGCATCTCCTCGTAGCTCTCCTGGAAGCCCTTGGGGCTCTGTGGAATGAAACAGTCTGTTCTGGTCATAGCAGAAACTCAAAGACCCAGCTGGACTAGACCTACAGGGACAGGCTGGCCCATAGGTGGGGACATTGCAAGGCAGGGTCAGGACTGATCCCTGAGCAGCAGCCACGGAGAAAGAGAGGCAAGAAGGGTCTCCTGCCCGCCTCAACGTGCCCCTCGATGTTTCCATGGCAGATCCGAGCAATGCCTCAGCCCAGCTCATTCCTGAGCACCCACTGCCTCCCAGGAGGTGCGCACACACTGCAGTAGGAGCTCACTTTGGAAGGATGGGTGAGGGCGTGAGGTTGAATCAGGCAGCCAAAGACCCAAATCTCTATGACCTTAAGCCTCCCTGTGAAATGGAAGGAGCTATGGCCCCGCGTGCATAGGGCTTTTCTGAAGAAGTCAGGAACTCATGCACATAACACGAGCCCAGCGCCTGGACCTCAGCAATGAATAGCATTTAAGACAAGACTGCAGCTGCTGGTGCTATGACTCAGGACGGATTCTTCACTCCCGGGGACTCAGGTTCAGCTGGGCAGTTTGCAGGTGTGGATGTGCTTTTACGGACATGGCGAGCTAGTACGGCCAGGGACTGATCTAATACGGATCAACTCATTTAATTAGTACGGTCCTATGAGGGACATTGGTATTATGACCACTTTACAGATAAGAATACTGAGGTTTCAGGAGATCAATGATGTGCCCAAGAGCCAGGCAGGGTGGAGCTGACAAGGCAACCCACAAGCAGGATGTGGAGTGACAGGGCCATGCTGGGCAGGGTGAGCCCAAGGGCTCGCAGGTCCTATGGGATGAGTCAGGTGAAGCCAACTTAGGGAAAGGGCTGGCTGGCGAGACTTAGAAGACAACTGGCTGAGGAAGAGGGGGAGGGCAGGGAATGGGGAGCTTCCAGATACTCGTATATGTCCCACTTCCTACCTGGGTGCCAGATACACAGCGGTTCATCTTTTCATTCATTCAATCCTAGAGAGACGCCTTCACACTCCCATGTGCATCTTACACTAACATTAACAAAGACTCCCGGAGCAGTGTGTGAGGCAGGCCCAATCAGGGAGAAGGGCAGGGCAGACCAGAGGCCTGGGCAGGGCAGGGCAAAGAGCGCAATGCTGGAGGCCCCGAGTGCAGCCCGGTCTCCACACCAAGGGCAGGGGAAGCGTGGAGGGTACCAGGCAGCTGGGTGACGAGGTCAGAGGTGGTTTCGGAGCCATTACTCTGGCACGTGAGGAGAAAGGGCTGAGGGGAAAAGGGGTGCTCAGGAGCTTTCCTCAGCCCTGGCCGGGGAGCTCAGTGGGTTAGAGCATCGGCCTGATGTGCCAAGGTGGCAGGTTTGATCCCTAGTCAGGGCACATGCAGGAATCTGCCCATGATTCGTGTTTAAATGGAACAACTTGAGGTTTCCCTTTCTCCCTTCCTCTCTCTCTCTCTCTCTAAGAATCAATAGATTTTTAAAAAATTTTTCAGAAAGAGCTTTACTCAAACCCATCAAAGAGAAGCAGCACAAATGGCCAAAAGACATAGAAACTTATGCAGCCTCACTAACAATCAAAGAAACATAAAAACTGAATAGAATAAAAATTAAAGACTGCCCTGGCTGGTCCAGCTCAGTGGGCAAGCATGCTGGTTCATGGACTGAAGGGCCTGGGTTCGATTCCTGGTCAAGGGCACATTCCTTGGCTGCAGGCTCAATCCCCAGCCTGGGTCAGGAAACATGCGGGAGGCAACTAACCAATGTGTCCCTCTCACATCGATGTTTCTTCTCTTTCTCTCTTCCTCCCACTCTACCAAAAATCAATGAAAAAAATATCCTGAGGTGAGGATTTAAATAAATAAAAAAAAAGATGATGAATATCTAGTACCAGCCAGGATGTACAGAGACACTCTTGCACTGCGGGGGACCCGAAGGTGTTCAGCATTTCTGAAGCATGCGGCCAGATCTGCCTGTTCAAGGTCTGAACCGAGGACCCGGCATTGCCACGTCCAGGGCTTTGCCCCACCGGAAAACCTCATGCACCTACAGAGATCTGTAAGAGGTTGACTGTAACAGTGGTGTCTGTGACCATGAAAACCAGGCACAAGCCAAATGCCCATCCATCAAAGAATGAGATGAGCCACGGCCAGCCAGCCACGCACCGGGATGCGGCGCAACTGGTGGGCATAACTGCAGGGGCAAGGAAACAGGAAGGAGGCTGCACAAGAGGGCGCGGGCACAGCCCGAGCCTTGGAGATTAATGCCCGGTTCAAGGGTTACAGTCTATGCAACTGGGCAGGACACACGCCAGACTGTGGGCAGGGGTTCCCTCCGGCAGGTGCGGCTCAGGGAGACCTTCTACGGTTTCCTTTCATAACTGGTGAGTTTTCTAGAGCTGTATTATATTGTAATCAGGAATAAAAAGCAATACAGGTCCACAGTTTTCAGAATTAGCACAGGAAAACCCCAAAGCCTTCCCAGCTCCCTGCAGGACAGTCAGATTCCGCAGCTTCATTTCAGGTAGGACTTTAAAAATAAAATAAACAGAGTGAGGGGGAGAAAACCTGAGAGAAAAGCCTCGCCCCAGCTACCTTCTCAGCCTTGGTCATCAGACCTGTCACCATCTGCCGGCCGACTTCCCCGAAGAAGAGCTGGTTACTCTGGTCTTCCAGGAGGCCCTGGGGGGGACAGGGAGTGAGCTGCCCAGCAGCCGTCCCCCACAGCCATGGAGGGCCAGGCATGGGAGCAGGCCCACAGGAGACCTGCTCCTGCCCCCGCCCCCCACTCCACCCTCCCAGGTGCCTGCACCACAACCCACCTCGAACGCCTGCCGCACACAATGCAGCTTGGCCAGAAAGTCATGGTCACTGTAGCAGCCCAGCAGCTCTGTCCTGAGGGGAAGCAAACGGTCATGTTACAGGGCCCATCCAGTGATGCCCCTGGGGGTTGGCTTGGCAGTGTGACCTTGGCCGGGTGTTTGCCCTCCTCTAGGTGTCAGTCTCCCCCAAACCAAAGGAAGGGGCTTACTAGATGCTCCTGGAGGACATGTGAGCCTCCATAACCCTGGGGATGCTGCCAGGTCTATCACTGGGGGTCGGGCTGACCTTGGCCTCTTTTAGGGCCCAATTAGCAAGGGACAGAAATGGGGAACTACTTCCAGGTGGCAGGATGGCAGGGCAGGGCTGCCACCCACTGGGTCTGGCTGCCCTTTAGCCCAATCATAGGGCTTTGATTACAGCTTTCAACCATCTCAGTCGGAGCTTTACACACACAACTTAAATGTGGAGTCAGGACCAAAAGCCAGGTTCTGAGTTTCATACCACACAGGAAAATTAATTCAAAATGGTAAGAGTCCAGCCAGGGTGGTTCAGTGGTTGAGTGTCACCCTATGAACCAAGAGGTCAATGGCTCGATTCCAGGTCAGGCACGTGCCTGGGCTGCAGGCTCCATCCCCAGTCGGGGGCGTGTAGGAGGCAGCCGATCGATGTTTCTCTCTTATCACTGATGTTTCTCTCTCTCTCCCTCTCCCTTCCTCTATTAAAAAAATAAATAAAAAATAAAAAATCAATAAAAGCTTACTTTTAAAAAATGTTAGATCTTTTTAAAATGAGTAAGAAACCTAAAAATACCACAAAAGGGCCTGTATTCAGACACGGGGCTGAGGTTCAAGGTAATGGCCTGTATTCAGACACGGGGCTGAGGTTCAAGGTCCACTGTGTTTCTGTGGCTGGACCCCTCTGAGAATTTAAAACAAGCACAAAGTATTGCTATTTTGTTAATTAACTGTATTAATTTTTCCTTGTTAATTCCAGACCTGCCTGTCTGGGTACCTGGGGCGATCCTAGGCCCTCTGAGGTGGGGCAGCAGCTGCCAGCCCATCGTGGTCCTCAGTGAGCCTGGCCCAGCTGAGTCCTCACCAAGACCGCTGGCTGCTCTGGCTCCCTCCAAGGGGGACAGGGCCTGCCCCACCTGCCCTCTGCCCACGTGCTCACCTGAGGGTCCGGCAGAGCACCTTCCCCTCCTTCACCAGCTGCAGGGCCTCCTCATAGGCGGCAGCGGGCCTGGAGAGTGGGATCGGGTAATCTCCCACCTGCAGGGACTCGAAGAGCTGGGGGGGGGG